ATTGCGATTCCTTCAAGGGCATGTCACGAGCAGATAAGTGGGAAATAGTGCGGGCTCACAAACTATGTCACCGATGCCTACATCAACACAGTCCGTTTAATTGCAGAGCGAACATCGTTTGCAATATGGATGGGTGCAAATTGAAGCATCATCCACTGTTGCATAAGTTTCCAGCTCATGTCACGACCAATGTAGTAAACACTCATATAATCAAAAACAACGAAATACTCTTTCGTATTGTGCCTGTTGTATTATATGGTCGCGATATCCAGGTATCGACGTACGCGTTCCTTGACGATGGTTCTTCGATTACGCTTATAGAATTACAACACGAGCTGGAAGTAGAAGGCACAAAGCGACCGCTATGTTTACGATGGTGCCACGCATCGCTACGAGGATGATTCGGTAGTGGCCGATATTTTAATATCGTCACCAGGTGGGAAGCGATTCACCCTTAAAGATGTGCATACCGTCCGAGAGCTGACACTACCATCCCAGTCGCTCGACGTCGCTACACTCAAGGCAAATTATAAGCATCTACAAAATCTTCCACTGCAGTCGTACTATAATATGCGACCAAAACTTCTTATTGGCCTAAACAACAGTGCTTTAACATCGCCAACCTAAATCCGCATTGGAAACTTGACGGAGCCAATCGCTGAAAAACCCCGTATCGGCTGGATCGTGAAAGGGCAATTGTCAAATGGAGCTGTTTCTCGCGATCAGCATGTTTTTCATGTATGCGATTGCGAAGAGTCTGCCTGCGTTAACCTTCTGAAAACCCTCAAAGCTTATATTTGTTTGCACAATTTGGGAGTTGCCGCTAAATCCGCTGCAAGTTTGTCCAAAGACGACCAATTAGCATTGAAACAACTTGATGAGTCTACCAAACGTATAGGAAATCGATTTGAAACCAGCCTACTCTGGAAGTACTATGATATATCACTTCTCGATAGCTTACCTATGGCTAAACGAAGAGCGCTATGTTTGCGCTCTAAAATGTATCGAGATCCTCAGCTATTTTAAACTTTACAAGCGAAAATCAAGGACTATTGCAGAAAGGGCTACGTGCGTAAATTATTACCCGAAGAAGAAAATGCTAAAAAATACTGGTACTTGCCTGTGTTTCCCGTTGTGAATCCCAACAAACCCAATAAAGTACGCTCAGTTTGGGACGCAGCCGCTAAGGTCAACGGCGTATCATTAAATACAGTACTTTTAAAAGGCCCTGATCAGCTAACATCACTTTTATCCATATTGTTCAAATTCCGCCAACGAAAGATTGCAATTGGTGGTGACATAGCGGAGATGTTCCACCAAGTTCTTATTAGGTCGGAAGATCAAAACTACCAGCGTTTTCTTTGGTATGATCCAGGGGCTCAACAACCTACAACGTATATTATGACGGTCATGACCTTCGGCGCCACCTGCTCTCCTAGCAGCGCTCAATATGTGAAAAACAAAAATGCCGAGAGGTACAGTAATCGTTATCCTAGAGCTACACAGATCATCGTGGAGAACCATTATGTCGATGACATGCTCGACAGTGTAGACACCGAAGACAAGGCATTACAGCTAGCTATGGACGTACGGAAGATACACGCAAAAGGTGGGTTCGTCATTCGAAATTGGGTGTCGAACTCTAAAGCAGTACTAAAGAAACTCAATGCAGAATGCACGGAAGGCATCAACCTCGACATTGAGAGCGACCTGGCTACCGAAAAATGCTTGGCATGTGGTGGGCGACTACGGATGACAGTATTACATTTAGGATGTCTGAACACATGCGGGGCAGTGACCTAATACGCACAAGTCGGCGGCCTACTAAAAGGGAGGTATTAAGCCTTATCATGACCATATTCGATCCCCTGGGCCTCATTGGGTACTTCGTTATGTACGCAAAAGTACTCATGCAAGATATTTGGCGAAGTGGATGTTCCTGGGACGAACAAATCTCTGATGCGTTATAGTCGAATTGACTTCGGTGGATACAAATTCTTCCGAATATGGAGAGAATCAGAATCCCCAGATATTACATTCACCCAAATTTAACCAAATATCCTAACTTAGAGTTGCACTCGTTTGTGGACGCAAGCGAAAAAGGGTATGCAGCTGTGAGTTATTTTAGATACTGCGAGGGTGACTTTGTTAATTGTACACTCGTTGCCTCAAAAACAAGGGTATCACCAATCAGAATGCTAACGATTCCTCGGCTGGAGTTGCAAGCAGCGATTTTGGGTGCACGCTTGGCGAAGAGTATCATAGAGGCGCACTCGGTTTCAATCAAGCAATGTTATTTTTGGACGGACTCACGAACAGTTCTCTCCTGGATCAACAGTGACCTTCGTCGCTACCAACAATTCGTCTCATACCGAATTAGTGAAATTCTTGAGACTACCGAACCATTTAACTGGCATTCGATATCAACATACGATAACGTAGCTGATGAGGCTACTAAGTGGAAGAAAGTTCCTGAGGTCAGTGTTGAAACTCGCTGGTTTAATGGCCCACCGTTTTTGAAGCTGGAGAAAAAGTATTGGCCAGTAGAGTCCTTCTCACCGGGAGCCGCAACTACAGTAGAGCTTCGTGCCCAGTACGTTGGGACACATCATGAAGGACGGTTGAATGAATTTATTGCATTGGACCCAAATCGTTACTCATCCTGGCGTCGACTTTTAACCATGACTGCAGCAGTCGTATACAGTGCCAAAATTTGGTTAAGCCGCGTCAGACCACATCCTGAAGGCATTGATGGTGTAAGCAGCTATCGTACACCGCGAACTGAAGACTTCAAGTTGGCCGAAATAATGCTGTGGAGGCAGGCACAGTTCGATACTTACAAAGAAGAAATATATTCCCTTAAACATGGGAAGTTCGTTGAGCGATCCAGCTCACTTTACAAGTTATCCCCATATCTGGATGGAAACAATATTATGCGACTTGGCTCGCGCTTAACTTCAAAAGATAGAAACGATTTGGTAATCCTCCCCAAGAGTCATCGAATAACGCACTTGATTGTGGCTGACTTCCACACGAAATATCACCATCGGAATTTAGAGACAGTAGTTAACGATGTACGACAACGATACTGGGTGCCGCGGCTAAGAGTAGTCGTTAACGAAGTTCAAAAGCAATGTCAGCGCTGTAAGTTGAACAAGGCGAAACCAAAACCTCCGATAATGGGACAACTACCCTCGGCTAGAGTTTCTGCATTCTGTCGACCATTTACGTACGTGAGCGTTGACTATTTCGGACCTTTTCTGGTATCGATAAGGAGAAGTAGTGAAAAGCGGTGCGGGGTATTATTTACATGCCTCACGACGAGAGTGATTCATATTGAAATCGCGCATACTCTTTCAACAGACTCCTGCATCCTCGCAATTCGTAATTTCATAGCCCGACGAGGCAATCCCATTGAAATCTG